GACACATGTTTCTCCAGATCTACTACTCGTCAGGCACCATGCTAGGTGCTAGACGTGTGGTGATAAGAAAAAAAAGACACACTTCTCGCTCTTCTGGGGCTTACAGACAGACACTAGTTGGATAATAACAGCAGTAGACAGTAACTGCCAACTGAGCTAAGGGCTCTTGACCGAGACTGGTGAAGGGGAGGCTTGATATAAGATCTGAGAGGTGAGTAGAAAATAACTAGGCAAGAGGGAGGAGAGACTGCTGAAGAGCAAGCAGTAGATCAGACAAAGGACAAGGTCATTGGTTCTGAAGACAGAAGGAGTGACAGTAAGAGGAGCTGAAAGACTGCGTGGCTGAAACGGAGGGTAGCCTGACAGGTAGGCAGACGTCACTCATGCGGGGCCTCGTGGTCCACAGCAAAGAGTGCAAATTTTGTGCTAAAGATAACAAGTATTCAGTAAAGGACTTTAAGCAGTGGATGGAATTAGAGAGAGCAGTGATGAGGCTATCGTAGCGGGCCAGGCAGGAGGAGGGTCAGGTCTGGTCTCGGGTTGTGCCAGTGAAGTTAAAAGGAGTTCACGGAATTAATAAACTGGGAAACAGAGCCGACAGGACTTACAGATGGCTTGGATATCGGAATTAGAAAAAAGGAAAAATAAAAAATGATTCCCAGGAATTGTATTAGAATTTTTTTAGGTTTGAATACTGTGGTTGCATTAGTTTTAACTTACATATCTTATCTCTTTTCTTCTCTTTTCTTTTTTTAATTGCCAGAGGGTTGATGTGCTCACCAGAGAGAGACAGAGGGATACCCGGAGAGACAGAGAGTAGCCCCCAAAGGAGTGGTCACATTGCAAGCCCTTCTCTATTTCTCCATCCTGTTTGGATTTGTGCATGCATGCACACCTGGCATGTTTTGTTTGTTTGTTTGTTTGTTTTTGAGAGGTTTACGCTATAGGGTACATGCGCTCGCCAGACAGACAGACAGAGACAGAAAGACAGAAAGCGAGAAATCACCCCCCAGGGTGGATGGCCACGCCGCAATCCCTTCTCCTCCGTTCTCTTCTCAGGATCTTGGGCACACACGCACACGCGCCCAGTGTGAGTTTAAGCCACTGGGTCCGAGACACGAACTGCGGTCAACTGCGTGAGAGTCCAGCGACATAGCCATTACACTAACTGCTGGTCCCAGACCTGGCATGTTTTTCAGACTGCCAGGGCTGGGATTCAAACCAGTCAGCCATGTGAGTTCTGATTCCCTTAACCACTGCACTACAGGGCCAGCCCAAGTTACATAGCTTTCAAAAAGGTATATAAATATATATATACATATATACACACACACACACACACATATAAAAAATGCTAGCACATGGATGAACCTTGGAAGCATTATGCTGAGTGAAAAAAAAGTCACAAAGGTCACATATGATATGATTCCAATTATATGAAATGTCTGAAATAGGTAACTCCATAAAGACTCAAAGTAGCTTGGAATTTGTCTACAGGAAATAGGGGCTGGCAGGTGACGTGGTGATTAAGAGCACTAGACTCCCACATGGCTGACTGCGGCTCAAGTTCCAAACTGGGCGGCTTGCTCTCTCACTTTCTCTCTCTCTCTCTCGCTCTCTCGCTCTCTCGCTCTCTCGCTCCTCTCGCCCCTCTCGCTCCTCTCTCTCTCTGTGGTCAAATTAAAATAAATGACGGGACCAGCAGATGGTGTAATGGCTAAGTAACCGGGTTCCCATGTAGTTGACCACAGTTCAAGTACCGGACCCAGTGGCTTAAACTCACACCAGGTGTGTGTGCATGAGTGCCCACGATCCCAAGAGAATGGAGGAGAAGGGATTGTGGCATGGCCATGCCCCTGGGGGGTGATTTCTCACTTTCTGTCTCTCTATCTCTCTGTCTTTCTGGCAAGTGCACGTGCCCTATAGCAGAAACCTCTCCACAAAAGGTGGGACTGGGGAAAGGGAGAAAGCTTGGGGGAATGAAGATAACTTAGTAGGTGCAGAGTTTCTTTCGGGGTGGAAGGTTCTAAAATTGTTGGTGGTGGTAGCTGTACAAGTCTGTGAATTTACTAAAAAACACTGGATTGTGTAATTTAAGTGGATGAATTTTATGATAAATGAATTATATCTTAGTAAACTCTTTTGGGGGGGGGAAAAAGTCAGGATGAGAAACCTTGAGAAGGTAAAAGGGTATTCAATACAGATAGAGCAAGACTGACCCAGAGTAATGACAAAATGAAAGGACTGAAAGCTATCACTTTAAATCAATAAAATGTGAAAAACAAAAAAAAGTCATGGAAAACAAATGTAGATACCAGAGACACTGTGGGAGGAGGGTGGGAAATGGCAGAGGGTGAGAGGTCGGGAATTGGGGCGAGAGGGGTAGAGACTGTTCAGAGTAACAACGTGTCTGTTTGTAAAAAAGGAGGGAAAGATGATTAAAAAAAAAATGCAGGTAATATGTAGGTACAAAATACTACCATTTGTGAAAAGAGAATATGTATATGTAAATACAAATATGCATCGAAACTTACGATGTGTGTGTTACCTGCTCATTCCCAGCACATCGCCAGGAGTCACAAGATACTTGTGATGTGGGACCAGCAGTTGGAGTAACAGCTATGTCGCTGGACTCCAGTGTAGTCGACTGCAGTTCGAGTCCCAGACCTGGTGGCTTAAACTCACATCAGGCGCACATGCATGCATGCCCAGGATCCCGAGAGGAGAATGAAGGAGAAGGGATTGTGGTGTGACCATCCCCTCGGGGGGTGATTTCTCGCTTTCTGTCTCTTTGTCTCTCTCTGGTGAGCACATGTGCCCTATAGCAAAAGTCTCTCCAAAAAGAAGAAAAAAAAAGATACTTGTGATGTGATATGATATTTAGTTCCTCCAGAGAGATTGGAGACTTTCCCGTGTAATCCTTTTTGGGTTTTTTTTTTCCATTTTGAGCCATGTGAATGTATTATGTTTTCAAAATAAATTGTTTAATAATTTTTTAAATAAATAAAATATACCTTCTCTAAAACTACTCTCCAATCTCACTTCCCATTTCCTCTACTCGTCTCATTCTCCACTAAACCAAACTGCTCACCCTTTCCAGAAAGGAGCAGGCAGCCTCTGTCCCATACACCCCCACTCTGCTCCCATACCCCCCCACGCTTTCCTGTGCCGGGAGCACCCTTGCTCCACCCTCTGAAGTTCCTCCTTCGTCTCCCAGTTGACTGGCAAGTCCTGCCTCTCTTCACATACTTCAGAAGTCACTGCGCCATGCAGCGTTCCAAACAGCCTTCTCCCTGCGGCTCTCCTGGAATAGCAATTCTTCATGCATGTGTCTGTGGCCTCCGGAGGACAGGAGCTCTGAGGACAGGAGCTTGCACCCCTCCTGTGGGGAGAATCATCAGCTCCTTTGCAGTTCGCAACAGAAGCAAAGCACAGAGAAGACTGTGTCGAAGTGTGACAGAGGGGCTCACAGAAACCCCTCTCCCGGGCAGAGGCACAGGGCCATCCTGGCTGTGGCAGCTCTGTGCAGGAAATGCCGCTTTTGCCAAACAGCTCGTTTCCACCTAGCGCAGGAGTTTCCCCAGACTGTTTCTCTAAGGTTCCCTCTGGCCAAGGCAGATCCATCAGCAGGTCTGTCTGTCCAGACAAAGGCAGTGGACTTGGACAGAATGTCCTCCCAAACAGGAACTTTGTTTAAAATCACTCCTCCCCAAGAGGCCACCCATGGCTCTGGGAACTGTAGCTCAGGTCACTTTCAAACTACAATTTCCCTGTTATATAATGTCACTTTGTTGGTTTTCTTTTCTCTAAAGAAAATTTCCTTTAGACACAATGTAGTTGGTATTCAACCTTCAGGACCATCTGTGGGGAGAGGCCCCCAAGGCACTGAGGGAGGCTTCAGCCAAAAGAGAAGTTATCACTTAATAACCTGGAGACTTTCTTAGAAGAGAGACCTGGGACTGGCCCCTGAGAGTTCTCTGTCCAGTGGTGATCTCTGGCCTGGTCCTGAAGCCTCGAGAGTACTGCCCTGGGTGTAATCTAGGTCCCTGGAGCTGTGAGGAGACCTAGGGTCACCTGCCTCCTGCTGCTTGCTTCACTCTTGTCAGATCACCTGATGCAGAAGAGGAAGCCTAAGAACTGTGTAAGACCCCTGCAGTCTCTCCTTGTCTCCCCATTCTATAGATGAGAAATGGAGAATAAGCACTTTCCCAGCAGCAAGATGTAAGACTAGAATCCAGATCCCCCAAACTCTTCTTTCCCACTCTTCCTTTTATAAATTCCCTTCCTCTCTTCTATTTCTGGGGCCACTAGGCCCTGCCTTTTTTTTTTTTTTTTTTTTTTAAGAGAGGTTTTTGCTATAGGGCATATATGCTTGCCAGAAAGACAGAGACAGAGAGACAGAAAGCGAGAAATCACCTCCCAGGGGGGATGGCCACGCTGCAGTCCCTTCTCTATTCTCCTCTCGGGATCTTGGGCACGCATGAACACATGCCCAGCATGAGTTTAAGCTGCCGGATCCGGGACTCAAACCGCAGTTGACTACGTGGGAGTCCAGCGACGTAACCATAACGCCATCTGTTGATTCCTAGACCCCACACTTTATAATAAACACTTGCACAAAATACTTTTCTTTTGCCAAGTAATCTCTTTCCTCTTTCTGGTCAGGCCTTGCCCTGAACTTTCTATGCTTGACTTCCATCTCGGGCACAGCTCACGAAGCCCTAGGGGTGTGCCGCAGACAACCAACCGGAATCTTCCACTTGCATAACCTAAGGGGACCTGAGGACAGAATGAGGCCAGGACGCCCCCACAAGACAGCTCTGCCTCTCCCACTCAGCACCAACAAGACTGTGATCTGAGAGGCAGCCTCTTCCTCTCTCCCCCGGCCCTCTGAGGTGAGTTATACCCTGCCCTCTTCAGCTGGGCAGAGCACCTGGAAGAAAACCCAGGAACATGGGCACCACCTGTCTCTTTGCCCCACATTAAACTTGCTGAAGAGCCTGCGGGGCTGTGGGACCTGCGCCCTCTGGAGCAATTCCATACACTCGCTCCACCTGGCAGAAAGGAAATTGCCCAGCAGGAGGCAAGGCGCAAAGTCCTCTTAGCCGTGTGCAGAGGTGGGGCAGAGAGAAAAGGTCAGTTTTTCCCACAGGAGCAGCGCACAGAGCCAGTCCACCATGGACGCCCTAGTCCGACTCCTGCAGCTGCTGGTGCTGGTGCTGACCCTGCCCCTGCACCTGATGGCTCTGCTGGGCTGCTGGCAGCCTCTGTGCAAAAGCTACTTCCCCTACCTGATGGCCACGCTGACAGCCAGGAGCAACCGCAAGATGGAGAGCAAGAAACGGGAGCTCTTTGATCAGATAAAGGCATTGACGGGAGCCTCCGGGAAGGTGGCCCTCCTGGAGCTGGGCTGTGGCACTGGCGCCAACTTCCAGTTCTACCCGCCAGGCTGCAGGGTCACCTGCGTGGACCCAAATCCCCACTTTGAGAAGTTCCTGACAAAGAGCATGGCTGAGAACAGGCACCTCCACTACGAGCGGTTTGTGGTGGCTCACGGAGAGGACATGAAACAACTGGCTGATGGCTCCATGGATGCGGTGGTCTGCACCCTAGTGCTGTGCTCTGTGCAAAGCCCGAGGAGGGTCCTACAGGAGGTCCAGCGGGTGCTGAGGCCGGTGAGCAGAGCGGGAAGGGGATGATCATGGGGCAGGCAAATGGCATCTCACCCCAGCATTCCGGGTCCCAGGATGGGGGAATCAGATGTACTGGCACGTTAGACACCCCCCATCTGCCCCCACCTGCTGAGTAGGAGATTTGCCCAGTGCCATGGTGGGGCACAGTGGAGAATCACCTAACACAGAGGGCCGGGGAGGGACGCTGGAGGACACCTAATGAAGTGATGTGCACATCAAGGTCTGAGGGATTGAGTAGGGTGGGGAATGAGGGGAATTAAAAATGTTCTAGGTGGGACCAGCAGATGGCATAATGGTTATGTCACTGGGCTCCCACATAGTCGACAGTGATTCAAGTCCCAGACCTGGCTGCTTAAAACTCATGCCAGGTGGGTGCATGCCCAAGCGGAGAATGGAGGAGAAGGGATTGGGTGGGGGAGGGGGTGATTTCTCCCTTTCTGTCTCTCTGGGGAGTGCACACACCCTATCACAAAAAATCTCTCCAAAAAAAAAAAAAAAATGCTCTCAGAGAACTTTTAGGGAGAGCAGAGCCATAAGATTTTGAACTGGGTGTGGAGAGAATGGAATCCTAGTTTCAGGCAAGAGCAACCAAGGTGAAAGTGCCTTGTGCTAAGAAAGAGAAACCAGTTTTAGACTTGGGTCCAAAGCGCTGCCAAGAGAGCTGCGCGGTGAGGCCGCATAGTGGTCAGAATCCAGACCTGAAAGTCAGGAAAAGATGCTTCCTGGAGATATAAATTTGGACATCACTAGCTTGGAGCTGGTGATTCAGAGCATGAGGCGAACAAGACCCCCTAGCTAGAGTACAGTGAGGAGAGAAGGGCTTGAGGAAGCCAGCTTTGGAAAGAAGTTGCGTCTGAGGTTTCCCCCAGGGAACATCCCCTGACTGTTCTCAGAGAGGTTCACTGAGAGATCCAGGAAGCAGTTGATGTGTGTATCTGAGTCTCAGATAGAGAACGGCACGTGTGTCTCTGTGTGGAATGAGACATCTGCTCCTGTTTCCCCATCTCCCGTCGGGTCTGCCCTCGGCTCTGCAGTCCTCCTGGTCATCCTTAACCAACCTCTCGCCATGGGTCCCCAGGCATCATGAAGGGGAGAGGAGCAGGGGATGCAGCAAGTATCAGGCTCCACAGACTCAGAGCAGAGACTCGCTTCACCAGAAAGGTTGACCAGGCGTACCAGCAGTCAGGTAGAGAAGGGGGAGGGTGGGACCGAGCACACAGCTGACGTTCACTCTCTCCCCTCCCAGGGAGGAGTACTGTTTTTCTGGGAGCATGTGGCTGAGCCGCGTGGAAGCTGGGCCTTCATGTGGCAGCAGGTTTTAGAGCCTACTTGGAAACACATTGGGGACGGCTGCCACCTCACCAGAGAGACCTGGAAGGATCTTGAGAATGCCCGGTTCTCTGAAGTCCAAATGGAACGACAGCCCCCTCCCTTCAAGTGGCTTCCTGTTGGACCCCACATCATGGGAAAGGCTGTGAAATAACTTGCCCTGAGCCCCCAAGGTAGCCATTCTCTCCCTCTCTGCCTCTAGTCAGAATAAGTCACCCACTGGGCCAGCCAATGGCCTGGTAGTTAAGGCATCTGGATCCCACATTCCAACCACAGTTTGAGTCCCAGTCCCAGACCCAGTGGCTTGAAAAATGTACCCGGCACGTGTGCGTGTGTGCCCAAAATCCTCAGAGGAGAATGGAGAAAGGACTGCGGCATGGCCATCCCCCCTGGGGCTATGTTCTCACTTTCTCTCCTCTTTCTGTCTCCAGGAGCATATGTGCCCTATAGCAAAACTTAAAAAAAAAAGGACTAAGCCATCCACCAGCCGAGTCTATCCTCTAACAAGAGGGATCAAGTAGAAGGAACGGGAAGCCTGCCCCACTCTGCCAGGGGAAGCCTAGCTTCAATCTCTCCTTGCACAGGGAAAAAGCTCAGTTTCTACCCTGAGGAGGAGGCGGTTTACCCGGTCTTATCCTTACCTGCATATCCACTCCCTAGGACAGCTCCCTGATCCTCCTCTTGTTCCCACAGTAAACTTCTCCCCATCCTCCTTCTGAGGCTACGTCATGTGTTTTAAAAAGTCAGGGGACATTGGGACCAGCAGTTAGTGTAATGGCTATGTCGCTGGACTCCCATGTAGCCGACCGTGGTTCGCATCCCAGACTCGGTGGCTTAAAACTCACTCCGGACGCGTGTGTGTGCGTGCCCAAGATCCCAAGAAGAGAATGAAGGAGAAGGGATTGCGGTGTGGTCATCCCCCCCCTCCCCAGGGCTGGGAGTGAAGAAGCTAGGCAGCTTTCTGTCTCTCGGTCTCTCTCTGTCTGTCTGGCGAGCGCACGCACCCTATAGCAAAAACCTCTCCAAAAACAAACAAACAAAAAAGTCAGGGGACATGCCCTCTGTCCCTTTACCCTCCCTCCCCACTACCACCTTTATCCCGAGCTGTGAGGGTGCCAGAGAGCGTCAGAGGCCCTGGGGATGAGAGAATAGAGTTCAGTAAAGACACCAGAGGGTTTGTCCTCAAATATTTTTTAATAAATAGACAAAACTCACTAGACTGAGACAGCGAACTAAGGTCAGAGAAGGGAAACTAGGGTGGGAGGAGCCCCTGAGTCAGCGACACAACCTCCTCCCTGACCCCCTAGGGTAAGGCACTTTCGGGAGACAGGTCCTTGGGGCTCTGCTATGCAGGGTGAATGGGGAGGGAGGGGTTAGGATCCCTTCTCCCACCTTTGCACCAGGACATCCCTGCCCTTCTCACCCCACCCCACAGCCCCATCCCTGATTTGTCCCCTTTCGTCTCACAGCATTCTAAAGAGAAGTTTGGGTGGGGGGCTGGGTGATTCTCATGGGTGGGGGAGATCCTTGCCCCTGAGGAAGCAGATCCTGGCAAATCTTGATGTGACACCAGCAACTCACTCTGCCCTCTTCATGCCGAGGATCCATCTTGGGGAAGGGGTGGAGGAGACCCATGGGCAGGCTGGGAGTGAAGAAGCTAGGCAGTGGCTGGGACAGGATGCCTTTCGGGGCCCAGCTCAGGGTTCCCATCGGCAGCCAGGATAGGGTGTGTATCGGGGCCTTCTCGCCGGGGGGTGCCCCAATTGTTCCTCAGGATGGTGCCTGTCTTCTCTTCCTTGAACTGCTGACGGTCTTCCCGAGGGATCTTCACCGCATGGTACTGGGGCACGGTGGCCTCAGGCCGCTTCGCCCGCTTGAAGAATCCCATCTATCAGGACATCAGGTCAAACCGTGAGGCGTCTACCCAGCCCAGAGGCCCAGCTCAGCTCAGCCCAACTCCTTGCCTCACCGTCCCTTAGACAGAAACAACCCTTGCAGCAGAAAGGAGACAGGCTGGGCAGCACTCGTTGTGCCCCTTCAGTGCTGGGTCCCCAGGCTGTCATTCACAGCGAGAGAAAGACCAGGAGGGGGTCCAAGGTGCAAGATCAAGGCCATCCCCATTGGCCCCTGAAAGGAACTTGAAGTTGGAACATTAGGACCTCTGACTCCGAAGGTTTCCACCACCTGAGCTGCTTAAGAGACCAAACAGCATCCCTCAGAACACAAAGAATCTGAGGAAGAAGGGCACCCTCGACCCTCGCACACCTGGAACAATGCTTCTCAAGCCTCAAACATACACACCCTGTGTTCCTGTACACTGGGCAGCGTCCCCTCAGGGCAGGCACTCCCATCCATGGACACAATAGTCTAGCCCCTACCTTCATTATGACCACGCTGGCTTTCACCGAGGTGGTAATGTGGCCCTATGCTTTCACACCCAGGACTGTCCAAGTCTCCTACATGCACAGACTGTGTGGCAGCTCCTTGCACATTCATGTCTGCACCCTCATGCCCATAGAGACGACATGCACAGAACTTCCCACATGCTCACGGCCCATGAGCCGCACCCCTCTGTGCATGCCCCAGGCTGTGTATACTCACCTTTATAACCTCACCCTCTAGTCACCTCTCGGCTCAGTTCCCAGGTCTCTTACCACCCTCATGCAGTCTTATCTCTTCACCCTGGGTATTCCTGCCCATCTGAATGCTGGGAGCTCTCCTTAAACTCACACACATACACGCCTATACGTACACACATATTTGCACACACACACATGCACACACGCAACAGTTACCCCACAGTCCCTGGACCCCCAGCTTCCACAGCTGAGGGCTGCACAGCCAGATGGGCCCGGTGATAGTTGGTGGGGAAAGATGAGCTCTGGCTGCTCCGGTGGAAAAAGCCACACTGGGATGCCGACGGAGGAGGAGGGCAAAAGAGGCAAAGGATGGGATGACTGAGGAAGGATGGGTGCCCTTCTCTCTGCTTTGTCTCTTGGCCACAGGAGCAGGGGTGGCATCCAGAGGCCAGTTTCACAAAGGCATCCATCCCCCCTAAGATTGGGCAGGTTCCCAACAACATGGATGCCACTCCAGAGCCTGGCACACTGATGATTCACATTTGCCAAAGGGTGCGCTCCGGTTGTGATTGGTCCCAAGGGGTAGGCAGGGAAGGACAGTTCTCCAGAAAGCCCCAAGGACATGCATAGTGGCATGTAGCTCAGGGTATGACCCCTGGCGATGGACCCAATGCTCTGTGCTGACGTGTGCATGTGCATGCTTTTCTGCTGAGCCCCAGATGCCAGTCTAATCTGCACACAGCTCTGTGTGTACAAGAATGGCGCTAGCGGAGCCTGGTATGCAGAAGTTCAGAGTTCAGCCCTGTGGCCATTCCCTGGAGGTAGTTCTCCACACTTGTTGGCCTTCAGTGCCACATTCCAATTAAACCAGACCACACCTCCCTGCCTCCATGTCTTAGCTATCATGGTCCTACTGGAAGGCTCAGGCCCCACCCACCCATCTCCCACATCCACACCCTACTACCCCATCTTCTAAGGCCCCACTCCCGGCTACCTCCTCTCGAGCCTTTTGTCCTCTGAATTCCCATTGCACTTTCTCAATCAGCACCTTCGGTCTTATCCTTGACTGCATGCATTACCCCCTCTAGACTATAAACCCCCTGAGGACAAGAGCTGCACCTGACTGATCCTTGAAACAGCTGGGGCCTGGTAGAACTCCTGGCACCCACAGAATAAGTGCTGAATACAGAGTGAGCGAGAGGACCACAGTACAAAGGCTGCCCACCTGACCTGCCCCCATCAGCCCACCCCTCCCCGAGCCTCA